TTGTACATTTTACTGATCCTTTAGTCTCTTGGCTTTAGAGTGCAGAAGTAAAAAAATTTTAATACTTCTATAGCAATCTTCCCTCTCATATCTCACAATGTACTCAGTTCCTTTTCCACCTTAAAATGTATTTTGGAGAATCTTACTGTAAGAACAATGTAGGCTACCCACATATTGATACAGAAGTGTGTGAGGGCAAATACTTTCTCCACCCTAAATAAATGTCAAATAATTTCAGGAACTGCTTCTTTTTTTCCATTTTGTTTTCTTGCAAATGTAAACCCCACAAGGGCAATGACTGTTCTTATGCCCTGTCAATACATAACAAACACTGGGGGAGTGAAATAAGTAATAAGTAGGAATAAAATTCCCAAATAATAAAACCAACTATAACCCAATCAATTGCTGCTAGTGATGCAGAGGCTTCACTTTAAAGTATCAGGAATAACACCTACATGTCTTTAATCACAATGTCCAGAAATGTGAGTTACATTGGTAATTATAACATTCAGTTAAATATTTATCCAGAACTTTTTATTGATTACATATCTGATGAGAAAAACACCAATACTGTCCTCATTTTAAAGTGAAATAAATAGCCCTGGCTGGCATAGCTCAGTGGATTGGGCTGCGAACCAAAGTGTCGCAGGTGTGATTCCCATTCAGGCCACATGCCTGCATTGCGGGCCACGGCCCCCAGCAACCACACATTGATGTTTCTCTCTCTCTTTCTCCCTCCCTTCCCTCTCTACAAATAAATAAATAAAATCTGTAAAAAATATTAAAAAAATAAAGTGAAATAAATAAAAAATTAGGAGATTAAATTTCACAGTCAACTAATATATGCAGACCTGGAATCCAAACTCATTTTTTTCTGATTCCAAAGCCACTGGTGTTATTTACACTCCTATACAACTGTAAGTGTTGAATAATTATCCTTTTCCTGTGACAAAATGAGGACTCATACTATGCTAGGTTAGCAATACAAATTCTTTCCCAATGCAAGGCAGACAAGTATTACTGACCAAAGCATAGATATAGTTTAATGAATAGAAGCTATTACTCAAGAATTAGAAATGGGCATGTCTTCTTGCTTGATTTCAGTTTTGTATTTTAGGGTCTGGGTAGTAACATATTTAAAAGGGTAGCACATCAATATTTTTCACCCTACTATATATTAAGGCTATCATGTAATTATATATATGTATACATATGAAGGCCTGTCCAGAAAAAGTCAAGCCATTATTAATATAATGAGAACAGTTTGTGCAACATTGATGTAACCTGGCAGCCAAGGAGAGTGGCCTGGAATGGATATGCATGAACAATGATGACTTCACTGCACTAGTCCATGGGAGTGGTAAATGCCATTGAGTGAGCATGTGTACTACTTGGCTGTCACACTCAAAATGACTGAGTGTGTAGAACAACAGATCTGCATCAAATTTTGTGTTAAGCTCGAACATTCCTCTGTGGAAACTATTTGGATTATTCAGAAGGCCACAGCTAATGGCAACTGGTGATTGGCAGCTTCATCACAACATGCCTGCTCACCCATTCTGTGTCTCATGCAGTTTCGTGGCCACACATTAAATAACCTGCTACAGTCCAGATTTGGTGCCCTGCAACTTCTGGCTTTTTCTAAAACTAATATCACCATTGAAAGGGAAAGAGATTTCAGACCCTCAGTGAGATTCAGGGAAATATGATGGGGCAGCTGCTGGCAATTGGCAGAATTTTGTGAGGTCCCAAGGTGCTTACTTTGAAGGGGATTGAGGCGTCATTGTTATACGTACAATGTTTCTTGTATCTTCTTCAATAAATGTTTCTGTTTTTCATATTACATAGCTGGATACTTTCTGGAGACACCTTGTATGCTAATGGTAGAAAATGTTTTCATTATTTGAGATAAAGTATTGCCTAAGGAGATGTGACATCACCAAAGAGGCAACTTTCCACTTTGTATATAAGAACATTAAATTTTATTTCTTTACTTTACTGTCTAACAATTTTGATAGATTATGTGAGAAAAGAATGAGGTGGCCAAACAGTCTGTAATAATTTTAAAGCCCACCTAAATGATAGGCACAATGAACTATTGTATCTTGCATAATTCTACTGAACTTCTAATGTTTTGTAACCTGACTTAAGAAATAATTTATATTTAAAATTTCTCTTACTATCCCTGCAGATCACGTTGTGTGTCACCAAACATTAGTTGGAAATAGTAGCTATAAACAGATGAAATTTGAAAAAATAATACAAAAATAGTTACACTTATTATACAATCCAGGCTTTTTAAAATATGATGCTGATCTTGAAAAACCATGCTTCATTCAACATGGAACATATGGCATTGTGGTTCTGAGAAAAATATATGAGGATTTCTATCATTAAATTTATATTTATCCAGCACATAACAAATCCCCTTCACTTTTTAATGCTTATGCATTTCTATTAGAGAATGTTGCTTACACAAAAGGATCTATTAGAGTGCTACTGCTATCACAAAAACTCAATAGAAAAGTAGTTACATTAAAATAAATATTACAGAATTTTACCCAGCAGCAATTTTTAGTTATTCTCATCTATTACAAAGATTCGAATGTGTAGGACTTAGTTTGTGAGAGTATATGCTGATATTGCCTAATATTTCTTTGTCCAGAGTAAATGTGAAACATAAATTAAGGTCAATGCAGTTGGCATAAGAAATCCACATACCAATATGAAACAGGAAAAGTGAGGAGCATAGAAAGGAAAGTGAAATGATGTTTTTGATTTCTCCTAAATGGTCATCCTTTCATATATGCTTATTGAATTAATATATAAATGTATATTTTTTATCAAATGAAAGCATTAATATACATTTTGTATTTTTGTATATTTTAAATTTAACATTAAAACTCTTGCATAATTTTTGGATGAGCAACTTCAAATGAAATTAAAATTATTTTTAAAAAGCCTGCAGTATGATTCCTCATTAACTTAAAAAACCTCGTTAAGCATACTATATTCTCTTATAAACTATTTTGGTTGTAACATAAATAGTTCAACATACATAAGTTTAAGCACAAATCATAGATCATATATTACATGAAACAGGATAGGCAGATATGATTAGTGTCTCAAAAAGAAAACCCCAGAAACCCCAAATAGATTATATAGTATCATTTACAATTTTAAAACAAAATAAATACATAAATTATGTATATCAACTAAACATGTATATAGTTATTAAATTTCATTTCTTAATAAGCAGTGAACTAAAACCTGTTAAGAATTGACATGCTACACAATGACATCGATGCTATGCCAAAAAGACTGACAGAAGGCAGTTGATACAGAGATTTGGAAATATAAAACACTTGTTTTATATTATTCATATTTTATTATAAAAGCCATGCATAGTAATATTTATAATCAGTTTTTATTGTGTAAATTTCCCAAATGCATTCTCCAGAGTTAACCATTTAAAATTCATTCATGTTAAAAAATGGGCAGAGGACCTGAATAGACAGTCTCCACAGAAGAAATACAGATGGCCAACAGATATGTGAAAAGATGCTTAACATCACAAATCACCAGGGAAATGCAAATTAAAACCACAGTGAACATCACTTCATTCCTATCAGGCTATCATAAAGAAATCAACAAGTAAGTGCTGAAGAGGATGTGAGGAAATGGGAACTCTCATGCACTGTTGGGATTGTAAACTGCTGCAGCTACTATGGAAAACAGTATGAAGATGCCTCAAAAATTTAAAAATAGAGCTGCTATATGACCCAGCAATAGTATTTCTGGGTGGTTATCTGAAGAAAACAAGAACATTAATTCAAAAGGATGTACACACCCCTAAGTTACTGCAGTGTTATTTACAATAGTAGAGATATGGAAGCAAGTTAGGTACCCATTGATAAGTGAATGGATAAAGAAGATGTAGATACATACAATGGAATATTAATCAACGACAAAAAGAAATAAAATCTTGCTATTTGCAACAAAATGGATGGACCTAGAGGGTATTCTTGTAAGTGAAATAAGTCAAACAGAGAAAGACAAATACTGTATGGTTTTACTTTACTTACATGTGAAATCTAAAAAACAAAAACAAGAGAACAAACGAAACAGAAAGAGACCCATAGGTACAGAGAACAAGCTGATAGTTGCCAGAGGAGAGGGGGGTGGTGGGATGGGTGAAAACCGTTGAGCTCCATGCAGCTGAGTTTGATTCTGCATCATTCTCTCCACCCCAAACCACCTCCCCCCACAAAAAAACCTTCATTCATATATTTTCTTATGCATCCTACAACAGAGACAAAAAGCAAGCAAGAATGATTGTGGTAAAACAGCCTAATTGTATAAAGCAACTAATATATTTTTACACACAACAGTTTGAAAGCAATTTTGTGTTTATTGAAGAAGCATTCTTCTCATGCACACTATTCAAGATTTTTTCTGTCAGAGTTTCAGTTTCTCAAGGCTGCTCTAACACACCACCACAAAATAGGTGCTTAAAATAACCGAAATTTATTCTTTCTCTGTTCTGGTAGCTGGAAGTCTGAAATCAAGGTGTCAGCAAAGTAGTTCCACCTGAAGACCCTGATGGAGAATCCATTTCATGGTTCTCTCCTAACCTCAGATGGTCGCCAGCAACCCTTGGTTTCCCTTGGCCTGTAGATGTAGCACTACAGTCTCCGTTTCCATCTTCCATTTTCAGGTGGTGTTCTTCTTTGTGCCTGTGTCTCTGCTCTCTTCTTCTTACAAGGACACCAGACACATTGGACTAAGGCCTGCTCTGCTCCAGTATCACATCACCTTAACTACTTACATTTGCAATGGCCATACTTCCAAACAAGGATACATTCTGAAGTTCTGTGAAGGAAATAGATTTTGGGAGGGCACTATCCAACCCAGTACAGTCAGTTTCATTAACATTAAAGAAAAAAAAATTCCCATATTATACAGATCTAAAAATAATGAATGAAACAGATGAAACAATGTAGAATATATGAGTGCAATCTTTTATTTTTTTAATCTGATACTTGAATGGGAATTTACCTTTGGGAATCTTTCTCATTCATAAATATGACTTTATGCAAAGAGAAACTTACAAAATTCTTCAAGAAGGATTCAGGGGATTAATCTAGGAGCATTCATTTATTTCTAATTTGTCACATTGTTCCTTAGAATATTTTCTAATTTTGATTTCACTGAAGAATTGTTAGATTTGAATAAAGCCTATAAAGTAAAAGTGGCAAACTAGCTTTGAAACTAAAGTTCAGTATTACAGAGGCAGATAAAGTAAGTCTAAGGAAAACTCAAGTATTTATGTTCCATCTTTTGTCCATAGTGATTCTAATATTTTATTCACTTGGATTCACCAATTTAGACTTTCTAATCATAATTGATAAGATAAATTTTTCCTGTAAAATGCTAAGGTAAACCCATTAATCTAGTTTTGAGATGCTGCTTCTCCTTAAGATGAACTTTCTGTGTCATATTTACTACATTTTCCTTTTGAGAAAAAAAAATGCTAAATATTCTCCATCTCCACAGATATGTAGTACGTATCTATATACTATCCTATATTTTCTTGTGTTAAGCTGTTCAGGAATTTTACATAACATTATGAGAAACTGTGAGGGAAAACATGAAGGATCAGACGATTATGACTTTGTCATAATTTGATAGCTGCTCTAAGTTTGGCTGAGCGCCCTCTGGGGTTATCCTGTATATCCTGGTCTTCTGGGGTAAGTACCTTCTTGTGTATCAACTCCCACATTAAAGGAGCCCTTCTTGGAGAGACTCCTTCCCTGTTATCGTGACCTGAACCCAGTTGTGATGTTTGTGTCACCTTCTGCCTTACACTTAGGTTAAATCTTTCCGCCATGCTTATCCCAAGCAAGAACCGTTTGACAATGCGATCCTCTAGTGAATGGAAGGAGAGGGCAACAAGACGACCACCAGGTCTCAGGAACTTCTGGGCTGTCTGCAGTCCTGCATAAAGTTCATTAAGTTCGTTGTTCACAAATATGCGAAACGCTTGGAAAGTCTTGGTAGCAATATGGGTAGATCGCTGCAGCAAGTCTTTTCGTGCATAAATAGCAGAGGGAGGAAATGCACCTGCGAACAGATTTTGTGAAAATAGGAAAAGAGAATAGGTGACATTAATATTTTCATTGTAAATATACTGGTTCGTGCGTATATTTAAATAACTAAATTTCTCTCGAAAATGTGGCATTTCATTAGTACTCCCCCATTTAATTTCCAAGCATTTTAACAAGGCTTAAAATCACTGTGTCAGATACATCTTTCATAACTCATAGAAGAAACTGGAGTCAAATAGGAACAGGAAAAAAAGAGCTCTCACCTATGAGCAGTTCAATGACCACCCCCCAGTGGAATAAACAAAGAAAGGTGCATGTAGGCACATTGTAATCAAACTACTACAAGTGAAAGATAATGAGAAAAATCTTGACTACAACAAAGAAAAACAATACATTACATAAAGGAGAACAAAAAATATTAACAGTTAATTTCTCATAGGACAATAGAGGCTATAAGATACTGGAATGATATTTAAATTGTTGAGGAAAAATCTGCCTTCCAATAAAAGGCTATTCTGAAATTATTCTTCAAAGTTACAGGTTCAGACATTTTCAAATAAATTAAAAATGAGAGAATTCATTGCTAACAGGTCTGCATTCAAGAAATGCAAAAGAAATTCTTTAGGCTGAAATATAATAAAATCAAGTGATAACCTTGATATACAGGAAGAATATGTGTGTGTGTGTATGTATATATATATATATATATATGTATGTATGTATGTATGTGTGTGCATATACATATATACACACATACATATATATGCACACATATATACATGCTTCCCTTATATATTATGTATATATACACATTCTTATATATACACACACACACATATATTCTCTTAATTTCTTTAAAAGACAGAACTCTTTATTAACATTTTTATTGTTGTTCAAGTACAGTTTTCTGCCTTTTCCCAACACCCCATTCCTCCCCATCTCCGTCCTCGGTTTCCACCCCCCCCCTTGTTATTGTCCATGTGTCCTTTATAATTGTTCCCGTAAACTCTTTAACGTTTTTCCCCATTATCCCCTCTCCTCTCTCCTCTGGTCACTGTCAGCCTATTCTCAATTTCAATGAAAAGCCAGAACCCTTTAAATAAAATTATAACACCATATTTTGGGTTTATGATACAGATATATTAAGATGTAGATATAAATAAGTAATCTATATGACAGTACAAAGAATGAGAGTGGGTAAGTGAAACTATACTATTGCAAGGTTTCTATATTTTACTTAGAATTAAAGTTGCATTGTGGTTGCTATAGCAGTCAAAATAATGCAAAGAAAGATAATAAGCTAACAGGGAATAAAAATAATCCACAAAAAATATAGTTTAACACAACAGAGGCAGAAGAGAACAGAAAAACAAAAATGAGACAAAGGAAAGACAAAAAGTAAAATGACAGACAATAATTCCAAATATAAGTATTTACATAAAATATAAATGTACTAAATAATCCAATAAAAATGCATTGATTATCTGCTGAAAGAGAGCAAGACCTAATTATATATTGTCTATGGAAATGCACTTTAAATATAAAGACAAAATAAAAGTAAAAATAAGTAAATGCTATGAAAAGATATACCATGTAGACAGTAAACATGAAAAACCTGGGGAGATTACATTAATACTACACAAAATTTTAAGAGAATTACTAGACCCAGAGAGGAAGATTTCTTATTGAGAAGATGGTCAAGAGAGTAGGAAGATACATTGCAAGTGTATATGTACCAAATGACGTAGTTCCAAAAATTTAGTCACCTCAGAAAAAGACCTACATTTATATAGGAAATTGGGCTGTTACCAAGCTGTCAAGTTAATTCAATGGAGATTGAACAGATTCTTAATAAAAGTGAATATCTGTAAGAATATGACCTTCAACCCATACTGTACACTATAAACAAAAATTAATTCTAAATAGATCATGAACCTAAGAGTAAACACTGAAACCATATGACAAACATATGGGACAAAACTCTCATTTAGAATACATAGGAAATATTTAGAATATATAGGAAATCTTACAACTTGCTTGCTTATAAGTCAAATGGCTTGTTTGAAAAAAGGGCAAAAATTTGAACAGACATATTTCAAAAGATATTAAATAGCCAATAAACATATATAAAAATGTTCAAAATAATTATTAGTCATAGAAATGTAAATTTAAACCACAATGAAATTCTACACATCTACTAGGACTGCTAAATCTTACAAAGATACTAACTACTGAAACAGACTCAAGAAGAAATAGATAATATGAGCAGAAATATTATAAGTGAAAGAATTGAACCAGTAATCAAAGCAACTCACAAAGAGAAGTCCAGGCCCAGATGGCTTCACTGCTACATTCTGTCTAACACTCAAAAAATTAATAACAATACTTCACAAACTCTTCCAAAAAATTGAAGATGAAAAAAACACTCCCCAAATTATTCCATGAAGCCAATATTACCCTGAAACTAAAATCAAAGACATCATAAAAAAACTACAGACCAATATTACTTATGAATATAGACATAACAACCTTCAACAATATACTAACCAACTAATTCAGCAGCGTATTAAAAGAGATTTATTTCTGGAATGCAAGGATGGTTCAATTCATGAAAATTGATCTATGTAATTCCTGACCTTAACAGAATAAAGGAAAAATCCACACAAAACCATACAACTGATTCAGAAAACACACTTGAAAAAACTCAACATCCTTTCATGATAAAAACACTCAAGAAGCTAGGAATAGAAGAAAAAGATCCTCATCATGAAAAAGGGACATATATTTATGACTACCCACAGCTAAGATCATAATGATGAAAGAAACTGAAAACTTTTTCTCAAAGATCATGAATAGCATAAGGATGTCTGCTTTTACCATTTCTATTCAGCATAGTACTAGAAGTTTTAGTTAGAGTAAATAGACAAGAAAAAGAAATAAAAGGCATTCAGATTTGAAAGGAAGAAATAAAATTCTGTTTATAGAGGACATATCTTATATGTTTAAAAAAAGACACTAAAAAATCACACACACACTCCATTAGAACTAATGAATCAATTCTGCAAAGAATTAACAGGCAAAATTAACATGCAAAAATCACTTGTGTTTCTATACACTAACCATAAACAATCCAAATATAATATTAAGAAAACAATTTCATTCACAATAACTTCAAAAAGGATGAAATATTTAGAAATAAAGTTAACAAAAGAAGTACAAAACTTAGGCTATGGAAGGTACAAATTTTTTTGAAAGAATTTTTTTAAGATAGAAATATTTATTACCCAAACTTATCTAAGATTCAATGCAATCTCTATAAGATCCCAGCTGACTTTTTGGTACAAATTGGCAAACTGATTCTAAAATTCACATGGAATTGTAAGACACCCAGAACAGTCAAAATGATCCTGAAAAAAAATATATATGTAGCAGGAACACTCACACTTATAGATTTCATAACTTAGTGCAAAGCAAAGTTAATTGATATAGGCTGTTACTGGCTCAGCAAAAGACATAGAGATCAATGGACTTTAATTGATAGCTTAGAAATAAAATTGTATAGTTGTGATCAACTGATTTTTGACAAGAGTGTTGAGACCATCCATGCAGTGGGGAAAGCACAGTCTTTTGAACAAATGGTACAGGGACAATGAGATAGCTACTTAAAAAAGATTAAAGTTGGACCCTTAAATAATACCCAAAATTAAATCAAAATGGATCCAGGGCCTAAATGTGAGAACAACAACTTTAACACTTTTTTTTTTAAGATTTCATTTATTTATTTTTAGACAGGGCAGGGAGGGAGATAGAGAGAAAGAGAGAGAGAAACATCAATGTGCGGTTGCTGGGGGTCATGGCCTGCAACCCAGGCATGTACCCTGGCTGGGAATCAAACCTGCGACACTTTGGTTCGCAGCCCGCGCTCAATCCACTGAGCTATGCCAGCCAGGGCACTTTAACACTCTTAAGTAAAAGCACAGAGATAAATCTTCATGAATTAGAAGTTGGTGAAAATTTTTAGGAAAAAAAACACCAAAATCACAAGCAACAAAGAAAAATAAATTAGACTTCATCAAAATTAAAAACTATTGTCCTTCAAAGGACACTATCCAGAAAGTGAAAGGACAACCCAAAGAAATGGGGAAAAACTTGCAAGACACATATCTGATAATGGATTTGTATCTACAACATGTGAAAGAAGCAAATTACAAAGTAAACACTCCTGATACTGTTTCTATGATATCTTGAGACATACAGATCAAAAACAGTCATGACCCACCTAGTTTTCAAGATAAACAAAAAATGTGGATTTTTAAATAACTCAAATATATTTTTCTTAGGCTTATCCCACTGGCATAAAAATATGTTGTCAGAGTGTAATGTCCAATGAATTTATAGAGGAATTTTTATTTGATTTAGGAACCTGTTCTTGGAGAATGCTATCCCACAAAGAAATCCTTTCAGCCCAGATATCCTGTGAATGAAGATCTGAAAGAATGGCTGCAACCCTGGCACTTGATTCTCTGTAGTATGTTTCTTACAGCAAAGAAAATTATGCAAGGCTGGAACCCTAGTTCCCATTTTAGTAGTCTGCACAAAATCTAACAGTAAAGTACATTAACACACACGATGAATCTTCTCAGGGAACTGGACCAGAGAAGGGAAGAAATGACGTGCTGGGAGCTGAGAAACAGGCTGTCTCAAGTTAGGCGAATCGGTTTTGTGGGTTCACTCCTTTACAAAAGTACTTTGCTGAAAGGCTAGAAAATGAGAGACATTAGGAAATTTATCTTCCAACAACTGGGTCTTTCAGAAACAAAATGTCAAAGTCAAAGCTAAAGAGGGAAGTCAACTTCTTGCCATTTGTTATCCAATTTCTCCATTCTCCAGAAAAATAGTTTTGGTCACTGAGGCATGTATTTGAAAACATACTAAGGATGTGAACAAACATACAATGCTCTCATATTCTAGAGCCTGAATTTAGAGGACACTGGAGGAAGGCTGCATCCCTGAAGA